CGCCTGTTGGCTAGTGTGTCACATAGTCATTGGCTGCGGTAAGAAAGGGTATGACCCACAGTCTGCTTGCTTTCTGATTTTCTGTTCCAGTGACAGACTGAAAAGAGGTTATGGCTAGCCTTGAACATAACTTCTAAGCAATGGTTGTTTCATCAATGTGATTTTAGTGTTGCTGGTGACTTTTTTGCATTATCCACAGGACAGATGATCATGATGTTACCAATACTGCGCCATGCTGCAGTTGTGAATAAGCCACTGTAATTTATTCTAGTTGTCTAATAAAGGCTAGTTCAGAAACACACGTTGGTTTTAATCTGTGTCTTGCAGAGAGCATAAGCAAATCTTAGGAGCCATCTAATGGGGATATAAAAATGTTGATTTTATTTAATAATCTTTAATTAGAGCAGTTTCTGATGCAAATGGCAGAACTGCTGCTCTGTGCTTCTCAAAGAAATAAAGGTAGCCAACTGATTACCACTTCATGTAAAAGATTGGTGTTGATCCATCAGTGGGATAACAAATGTTTCCTGTATTTAAATGAGACAGCAAGATTTTTGAGTATTCCCTCAGTTTCAGAGTTTGTTGTTAGTGATTTAAAGGAAGAGGACACAGAGGCATTGCTGCTAAACCAGAGCTTGTTTTGAATGCTCCTCTTGGTGATCTTGCCACTGAATTAATTGACTTTTGATAGTTTGCTAAATTGTGACTAATATAAAAAAATGAGGATATTTTTGAAATGTTGGTCTTGTACCAGGATCTCATTTTAGTACTCTTGGAAGTTTAGGAAGAACAGAAAACTTAATTTTATAAAATAATTTTCCTGTTTGGCATCTCAATAAAATATTATTCCTTTGCCAAAATATTGTGGTTTTAATTCATAAGTGGAGCGCTATCTTGTGTGGCTGTGTTGTCTCACAAGATAAGGTAGGATACTTAAGATGAGTAAAAGTATTGCCATCAATTTGAAAAATACTAAAAATCTTAGGTAACAGAGTAGTTAGGAAACAATTCCAAATGTCTGTTTTCCAATCTCCCTTTCTTCCTTCTTATAAAATCCACACAAACTTTTTTTTTTTCTTGCAAAACTAAGCTAAGGAAAAACTCTTAAATTTTCACAATTCTTGTTAGTCTGGAGGTTTAGTCTGACCTGGAATCTCTCAGCACCAATGACAAGTCCTGCCCTGTGTTGCAGGATAACCTATAGAATGAATCACTCAAGAAAACTTTCACCCTTCATATGCACAAGTCAGTCTCGTAGTTGATTTATTCCTTTTTTTTTTTTTTTTGGGTAACTCCTTTCTAATGACAAAAAGGCATCAAAAACTGGATTCTTCATATTCTTATCCAGGGAGTGCTGAGAGCATGTTCCCAGTACCTGTCTACAGTGTGAAGACAAGCTAGAGGACAGTGTATGGAAAATACTCTTGTTCCTTCATGCTGACATGTTCTTATTTTTGTCCTCATGGGGAGAAGCTATTGCTTATGTCCAGTCTAAACCTCTCTCATGTCACTTTACACCTGTTTTCTCTCCCAATGCTAAATGTCTAGGTGTGGTATTCTGCGGGCTGAGCAGAAGGGATGATCCCTTCCCTGGATCCCCAGGCTGGTCCCCTGTCCATACAGCCCACAAACTGCTGGCCCGTGTTGCTGCCAGGGCATGCAGGTGCTCCTGCTCCACTCACTGTTTGTCGCCACACGCAGGCCTTTCACACAGAACTGCTCCTGGCAAGGCAGGCCCCTGCCCAGGACCCTCCTCTACATCATTGATAAAGATTTAAAAAAAGGTCTTAAAATTAGTCTTTAAATCCAGGTTGTATTAAGCAGAGCTCGGGCTTCTTTGCTGCCTCCACTGTTTCCTCTTAGTTGAAACCCGAGTATCCTTTGGTGCTTCTTTCAAAGGCCAGACTGGATGACGCTTGGATCAACCTGGGCTAGTGGGAGGTGTCCCTGCCCGTGGCAGGGGGGTGGGAACTCAATGATCTTTATGGTCCTTTCCAACCCAGGTCCCTTCCAACCCAAACCATTCCATGATTCTGTGATTCTTCAAATTACCTCTTCTAGACTTACTTCAGTATTTCAGTAAGCTCTGTGTTTCACATTATAATGATTGGGTTTCAAGAAGGCTGGAAGGGAAAAAATGTTCCCTTTTTTGTTTAAGCCAAAAGTGTTGCAGGAGGGTCATGTTGTTAATAGAGTGCTTCCAGAGCAGAGAATTGTTTGGTTTTAAAAAAAACCCCATCATATACAAGAAGTCCTCGTAAGAGTTCCTCTTAACATGTCGCTATGTGTATATAAAATAAGTATGTGAGCCCCTTCCCACTGGCATGCACTTCATTCTACTTTCAGCAGTGGATTCAGAAGTTATCAGATGCAAAGGCATGTTTTGGCAGCTTTTCTGAGAGCTGCTGTGGATTGATTCAGTGTCAAAAGAATTAAGCACACTGCAGATTATAAAACATTATAAATTAAACATTATTAAAATTCTCTTGAATGAAAAAGGAATATTTTCAAAATGAGAAGTACTCACTGCCTTAAGCCAGCATTTTTCATCCCGTGTTTCTCTCAGTTTATTAAATCTTAAGAGTTTTTATTCCCCTCTATTCAGTGGAATCAAGCTAGCTTCAGAAGTTGGATTTATGTTCACCACACATAGCACATCAGAGCAAACATTCTGGAGTATGTTTTGAGTTGACAATACATAAATTGTAAAATACTTTTCCCTTATGTAAATTGACCTTGGGAATGGCAGTTTCAGAAACAACTAGAAAATAACTGGGCATAAACAAATATAAGAAGCCAGCCTGAAAGCATCCTTTTGTTTGTTTGTTTCAAAATATTGTGTATTCCTTATTTTTTACATATTAAGTAGTTATTGTATGGTACTTATTGTGGAAGAGATCTGTTTTCTGCATTTGCTTCCATACAAAAACTGTAGAAAAACTCTGGCTCTGAAAGAGCTGTGTTGTGCGTGGGTGATATTTATGCTACTTGTGTGTGTTTGGAATCTGTGCCGGTATCAAGAGGGATTGCTAAGGAAGCCTCCTAGCACAGGTAGCATGGCAGGGAATACGTGGGACTCTGCAGACACAGCAGCTGGATTTATAGCCCTGAAAAGAGGCAGCCGACTCCAATACCAGTGACTGGGCTGCTTGCCAAGTCTGAGGATTTGGAAGGCGAAGGAGATTGAGCTGTTACAGCGTGTCTCCTGCAGAGAGTAAGTTATCAGATTGAACAGGTGACACAGCCATGAAAGCATGACCAGGTACTATTAAGATAGTGAGTAGCTTTTGAGTACATTAGTTGTCCTTTGCAAGTGCTTTTCCCACATGGCAGATACAAGGAGCTTGCTTCTTAATAAAAATTAGATTATATTCTGCATTTATTGTGGGCAGTTACTGAGGAGACCTATGAGGATATGGAACTTGAGGTTTGTTACATGAGAGGTGCTGCACCATAAGGTGTTTCAGAGGAGACATACAGAGATGCCGGTTTATATTCAGACTTTTTTTGTTATTGTTTTTTAAGGGATGATGGTTACAGGTTACAGAATGTATTTATAAAATAAGATAATTTTATTTTCTTTGCATGTGAACTAAATAAACACTGAAGGAAGCATTCCTAGACTAATGACGCCGTGTTATAATACCAGGTTAGCCTGCCCATCCACTCCTCCACGACAGCATCAGTCTGCAGAGATACTAGTGCGTCTTGCTCCTGGGGAGGATGCTGTAGCCTCCCTGCACTCTCTGTGCCTGTGCTTCTCTCTTCTTTCAATTAAAGGCTTCCTGTTATGTAATTTCAAATCTTTCTTACCATGGTTTTTACCCACTAGTGCTTCTCTTTTCTGTATCGGATGAAGAGTAATGTTCATTCCTTCTCTTTGCAAACTGTGTCACAGGCCACAGAAACTTGCATTGTTAGCCCCAGCTCTTCCATAGTTACAGGGCATAAAACAAAGGCATGGTTTTGCTTCTCCGTGCAAAACTGTTAAACTCGAGAAACAGAGAAGTTGAGAGATGACAATGCTTAGGCATATTCTTGAAATAACTAACTGCATGAAGTAGCCAGTGTTAGCTGATGTATCTGTTTCTCTTACAATCTTAAACTGTAATAACCCTGAAGGTGCAGTTCACAGTGGTACTTGCTGCTGTGCTGGATTTGAATTTATGGAATAGAAGTATCTCCGATAGCAAAAGTGTTAGCATTTGTTGGGTTGATTTAAAATATTGTGTTAAATACAATAATGTGGTGTTTTGTGTCTGAAACACTTGGTATATAGGACCAGTGAAAAGGGATCTGAGTCAAGCTGTGAGGATCTGCAAACAAACTATTTCACTCTCCAGTTGGATAGAAGATTTCAGTAGGGAGCAGACACATTTTGTTGAAATTTGACGTGTGTTAAATATAGTTAATTGTGCTGTTCCCGCTAGGCACCTCTCTGTATGTTAAAGTTGATGTGCTAATGCTTAATAGCATGTCAGCGTGATGTGGGTGCAGGATGATACAGAGATCTCTGAGCCAAGGCCAGCTGAGCTCACTGTGGAGCCATGGTAGCAGGATTGTGCCAGCTAAAAGGCTGACTAATCATCTAAGCTAATCATCACAGTGGCATATTTTGATTAGTAAAATCAGTAACTTCTTTCCAAATTTATAGTTCTGGAAAATTTTGGTATTTCTAGCTTTTTTCCCCACTCAGAAGGAAAGATCCATAAATCCTTGAAATACCATGTAAACAAAAAAAGATATCTGATGCCCCTTGTGCATCTCTAACACATTATTCAGACTCAAGCCTGTTTTATCTTGCAAGAAAGGTAAAAATAAACTCTTCGAATTAATAATGCTTCCTGTTTCACAAAAACATGAGAAAAAAAACCCTGATTATCTGTTTACCTATGGGTCTGTACTGGCTGGGTCTAATACATAGCAGTAAGGTTGCTAATCAGTTGTGATCTGTGAAATTGTAAAATGAAGTTAATTTATTCATGATGTTACCTTTGTAGACCTCGACTGCTACTGTTAATATAGTGGTGACGGATGTAAATGACAATGGACCAGTTTTTGATATGTTTCTACCGAAAAACCTGTCTGTACAGGAAGAGGAAGCCAATGCTTTTGTTGGTCAAGTAAGGGTAAGTTGACTATACAGAGTTAATTTTTTTATTTTGTAATCCAAACTGCCAGGCTATTAGGAAGGAGTACAAAGTAGTTGTACCTTAGATAAACTCACATCAAAATGTCTTAGATTTAAATGCAAACTGTCTCTTGTCAGATGCTTTTATGTTCACAAAGTCGTCTTTTGGGCTTTAAAATGCAGAATTGATTTTCTTCTCTATGCTTAAAAGCTGAAAAACCTTTTTCATTTAAAAATATCATGTTAAAAAACTGTTCTTGAAGATGCCCCGCTGTAAAAGCTTGCTTGTAACAGATTTACAGTGTTACAACATTGTCACCACATTTTTATACTCTCACTGATTTCTTTTAAAATATTTTTCTGACATACTGAGCAAATGATGCATATATATGTAAAATTGTCACACATACGGAAAATTTTAAGGCCATTGAGGAGAAAAACAGATAAACTGTTGAGTGAAATAATCGACGACCTGTTATAAAAATAGATTGTGCTTGGGGTGTTATGTTAGTTTAAGTGATTTGAAGCTGTGTAAATTTTTATAACATATATGGGTCTTCCGGACTACTGAATGCAGGTTCAGTGACTTGAAACATGCACCACTTTTTTTTTGGCAAAGTCAGTTTTCCTAACATCAGGTGAAAGAAGAAAGAAAGAATTGAGGGGTTTTTTAAACTTGCAGTTGAATATAATGTTTCATATTTCCTTGAGGGGTGGGTAAGCAGAAAGGCTGGATGCAATATGAGCTGAAGGTAAAAGATGAGTTTGGAAGCGTGTTATTTCAGGAATTTAGGTGAAAAATCTGCCTTTTGTTCCAGTAGCAACCATATCAATAGAAAATGGGAGCTCCATAACTGCTGTGTTAGCAGTACCTTCAGAAAGAATAAGGAAGCTTTGGGTAGCATGGGAACCATCTTGGGTAGCATATAGCCATAATAACCATGTTTCTTTCCAAATTTACATTATTCAGTAGGACAGCCATCAGTGTTGCTAGTCTATCATATTTCTTCTTAATTTTGTCTTCGAGTAAACTTCAGTTGTTTTCTGGTATTTATAAATAGAAAAAAAATGCTTCTTTGGTATAAGTTTGCATTTCCTTCCAATTTTGTTATTTATTCATGAAGTTTGATTTAATTCAAGTTATACTTAAGGTTTTGTGGGCTTTTTCAGTACAGTTATACTGAAGTGGCTCTACATCTGTGTATGCTCTACTTGCTGTATAACCTGGTGTCGTTAAAAGTGGGGGCTGCTCTGAAGCTGTCCCAACCTCAGCTGTACTTTAAAGGGAAATAAATTTTGTCAGCATTGATGAAGATTTTAGTTTTCCAAAGCTTAATTTTGTTATGCTAGACTGAAATATCAGCCATGTCAAAGGCTGTTTTGAAGCCTTGGACATTCAGAAATCAGGATCCTTGCAATTAAGTCAGTTTCCATAAAACAAGAAGTTATTGCTTTAGTTTTTGTCATAGTGTTCATCTCATATGGTCATTTTTCATTTTGCATCCTAAAATGTGTGGACATGATACTTCAAATCAGTACCGAATATCTTTAAAATCCATTTTGTGTTTTGCTGGCTGCCCTCAAGGTGCAATAATCTTCTCAAACACTAGATTGGGTCTATTTTTAGCTTAGGTGGAACTATCAAATAAAATAAGTTATTGCAACAGAACCTCTCTATCTTATAAATTAGTATGATTTCTGGGTTGTGTTGAAATGAAGATATTTAATGAAGCCTCATGATAGCTTATTCCTAGTTGTGGAATGGCAGAAACTCATTATATCATTTATTGTCATGTTTATCACCAGTCCTAATTCCCAGTCCCTGGATGGAAAAAGCCTTCTCTTTGTAGTACAAATACTGGATATAGTTTCTAAAGTTTCATATTCACAACTGCAGATAGTATAGAAAAGAGTGATCTGGGCATTTGGAATTTTTTTTCTGGCTTCAGTGAGATTGCTGAAATTAGGATGATGAGCATCTAGGTGTAGCTATGTTGTTTGCAGATGTTCTTGAAAAACAGAAATAGCTTTTGTTGTGTTTTTGTGCTTCGTAGTACATTAGAACCACAGTAGGTATGGGAGAGTTTTCTATGGCAATGCATTTTGTACAGAGGCTGTGATGTGGTTAAAATATAAAGGCCTATTTTAAATTAAAATAGCCTGTTAAAAGAAGGTAGTGCTCATTGCGTCACATATTTTCACCACCAACAATTAAGCTGCTGACTGGCAGGCCTGCTTTTCAGAATGTCTTCTACTGTATTCATTGCGAACAGGAGCCTGAAATCTGCCAGAGTAGGCAGTGATACAGATGATCTTGAAAAATAAACAGGTTTTGTGGTGTCCCTTTCCCTTTTTGAATGGTGGCTTCCGTTTTGCATGGGGAAGAATACAGTAAGGCGTTTTTATCTGAAGACCTGAGCAGATATGGGCCCTGCTGCCCGTTGAAGCAGAGGAGCTAGTGATAAACGATGTGGAAAAGGTGCTCAACTACTTGGATGCCTCAGGTTTTTTTACTTGTAAGTTTTGGTATCAGGACTCTCAGATGCCTGAGTCCTTTCTTCTGGGGGAGGAAAACACTACCCACAGTAGCAGATAAAGACATTACAGGCTGCTTAAGGAAGTAAGACACAGAGACATGGTGGGAGCAGATGGGATGCCTCTGAAGGTGCTAACGCTGGCTGATGCCACTGCAAGGATGCTCTCTCTCATCTTTGAAAGGTGCCGAGGAGTGTTGTTCCTTATGACTAGGAAAAGGCAAACATCACACTCATCTTTGGGAATGGCAGGAAGGAGGATTCCTAATTCTAATTGGCTTACAATTTGAATGTATTTTATACTGAAATCCATTCTTTTTCATGGAAGATCCCCAAACAACAATTATTTTAACTTTTTTACAGTTGCCAGTTGAAGAGATTAATTCTTGTAAATCTGGGGATATATTCTATGTCAATTAATAGAAGGGTAAAGCTGTAACAAATTTATTAGTACCTATATTAAAATGTTAGAAGTAGTCTAAAAGCTATTGAGAAGCTATTATTTCCCCATTCTTCGTTCTCTATATGGGCTTTCTCTTTCTTCCCTCTATTGAGACTGCAAAACTTCATGTCAGTTTTCTGGTCATCTGTTCCTCTGAACAAGTGATGGGTCACATTCACACCCTCCTTTTGTCCCCTCTCTCCTAATACAGGTAAGGTTATAGGCAATTCAGGGTATAAGCCAATTAGATCTAACACTCCCATGAGTAACTCTAGCCACAGACAAGAGAGTTCTTTGCTCCACTTTGAGTGTGAAAGTTGGACTTAAAAAGGTATTCCCATAAAGGCTTAGGTAACATTTGGGAATTTGTTTCCCAAGGAGACACAGAGTAAGGGCAATTAAACATTTTCTCTGGAAGAGAGGAGGGGTCGTTATGGGCAGGGAGGCAGTGTTTACACTCCTCAGTGCTCTCATTCTGCCACTCCGGTGGCTTTGTCTGCCTGTTGGGAGTTCCTGAAGGCACCAGCGTAGAAGTACTGCCTGTGGGGATTTGGGGAGCATACTGAAGATTAAAAGAACAAAAGCTAGGAGGGATAAGGCTGAAAGTGTAGTGGATGTATTTCAAATCCCATTTATTTTTCTCAGTGTTGTCTAAATTGGGGCAGTTGGAGGTGTATTAGATTCCCTGCTGTTTTTTTCATATCTGTCATGGGGATCCCCAGCAAGACAGGAGGAGAATTGCTGAATGAAGTTCTCTACAAAGGACCAACAGGAAGCAAAAAGCTTCAAATGGGAAACTTCAAAATGAATTCAGGTGCTGTGTTGTCTGTTGCAGTCTAAAACAGCAGAGATCCTGCTGAGGACAGGGCAACTGAATGATTTGCATTGCACAGTATACTGTTTGTCAGTACCAGGTGCATAGGAGGTAAAAAAGCGGAATAAAATTTAGATGGGGATCAATCAAATCTGCAAACAGGTTTGCGTTCTTGATCAGTGAAAGACAGTCCCAAGGAGTTTGTTACAGACCTCAAAAATCTAGTTTGTGGATAAATAAGAAGCAGTTGACCGGAAGGGACCAGGAGAGGAAACAAATCACTCAGCTGAAGTTTTTATTCATCTGGTTTTTATATTTACCTGGATTCTTTCACACACACTCATTGTTTGGTTATTGTAGGCGTGTTTTTGTGTCATCGATCAGCACTGTTTGAAATCTCCAGCATGAACATGTTGGTGTCAAGGGGAGATAGGGACATGAAAGGAAATGAGAAGGAATATATAGATAAAGAATTACATGGCAGTGGACAAACCAACCGCTCATCAGATGTTTAATTATCACTGGACCCTAGATCTTCCCTAAAATGGAGACAGTATAAATAAGCTCCAATAATGACAGTGGTTTGCAAACAGTGTGTGTAATACCTCTGTCATCTGCTGCTTTTTTAAATGAGAAAAGAAATGCTTAAAGAAAATAAGTTGCTCTTTAGGATGGAGCTATTCTAGCCATTGGAAGAGCAAGCTTGGAGGACTGCCTTTGATTGTACTGTACAACGGAAATATTTACCTTTTCTATTTACCTAATAAATATATATTCATACCTGTGGTGTATATAATAGCATCTACCCACTACAGAACAAAGCAAGGCAAAACTGTAAGACAAGTGGGACAGAGACAGCCTATATGGTACCAATCTGCTGATTCTAGATGTTTTCTTTTAATCTTATAGAAGTTTTTTAAATTTATTGCTTTTGAATGCTAATGCAATGCAGTTATGATGCCAATTTCCTAACAGGGCTTTCTTTCTGTGAATATTGGTGAATAATTGCAAGCTTCTGTTTTTATTTAAGTTCATAAGGTGGTAAACCCTGTAAGTCTCATGATTTAAAGCCCAGTTTAAATTTCACAGATTTCAGTGAGGCTTATTGTGTTGGACTAAATGACCTCCGGAGATCCCTTACAACTACATGATTCTGTGTTTCTGTATACAGGAAAACTGCTTCAAATGCTGGGGAGGTATTACATTGT